TTTGTCTGTTCCTTTAAATTACCATGGGAAACAATGACTTTGAAAGTATCGATTCATGCATGTTTGTCAGAAAAGAAAGTTCTATACATCCAAAATTAGCGAAAAATATAATAAATGAAACTAAACTATGAATACTGATTGAGAAGTTAAACTAAATTCTGGATACTTTAAGTCCTCTGATACTGAAAAATGATGAAAACTTTCTCTGTTTATCGTGTCTCCACGTGCCAAGCAATATATCCCTACTTCCTAGCTATAGTTTATAATATTATTGTGAATAATTTACCTGATCCATTTACAGTCTCCTTTTAGTCTCGTTATTTAGAATTATCGAGAACTCCTCGGGCATTATGATTTGCTTTACACAGAAAAATGAAAGGTTCCCATATTTTCTTTTCTTATTGAAAAGTGTCATAATGATGATTGTTTAGAACTCCCTTCTTAAATATTCAAGTTATTTATAGTCTTTTAAAAAGAACAAAAAACGCAGATACCACATAAAATACAATAATGCATTCAATTGGGAAACATCATCACCCAGACCGATTAACGTCTGCGTTTACAATTCATCATTATAACCCAGAAATGTCGTAATCAATGCTAATATGACACTTTTTCTATCATTGTCAGATGAATTCATATTGACTTTGTACTCAAGGGGGGAAAGTGCTCCCTTGTTTCGAAGACAAATGACGTCGACAGAATATCTGCACACTATGAGGCCTACATGCCACAGTGCTTACCTGGGATCATTCTCACTAATCAGTTTCTGAAGTGGATTTGATATGTACTTTTATTTAAAGGAAAAATCATGTGAGTGATATTCATACTTACTGAAATTAGAATGATAATAAAAATATTGTTTTGTTGTTTTTATGCCCCTGTTATCCAACAGTTAGTGCTAGGGCTTTCATATTTCACCTCTCTTTGGGTACCAATATTTTTTACCTCTTGACCTTGGAGTTAGATCTACTGTTAAAATTTTTTTTTAAACTTTGTCCATAACCTTTAAACAGTCGGTGTTAGGCCTTTCATATATCATATGTTTTTCTTGTGACACGACCTTTTTTGGGTACTAACATTTTTTACGTCTTAGCCTTGACCTTGGCGTTTTGCCTTCATTTGAAAAAACTCTTACCTTGGCAATGAGCTGCCATAGGGGAGCAAAACATTTTTGGGGTGGGTGGGAGTGTTTTGCTTTATTATGTTTTGTTTTGAAATTATAAGTTATTTTTCATTTATTGATTTTCTCAGAAAATACACACAGGAAGAATCAATCAAAATAACAAAGAATTCTCTCTTTCTTTGAATATATGTGTGTGTGTTCTCAGAATAAAAATGGGGAAAATATCTTATCAGATATTTGGATGAAAATGTTTTTGCCTGTTAAAGGTTTTTGCAAATAACAAATTGTTTATCGAATTTCATACTGATGTCTCGACGTGAAATCAAATTATCACTACAGAATGTATATATGTGGAGAATATAAATGTTAACATTACTGTATCACCTGCTCAGGGAGATTAAATGTGTCAGTAATGGCGGGACTGCCACATCAGGAATAACAAATATCACCTTCATAACCCACGTAAGCTACGTCACCAGGACACAACATCGCAATTGAATTTAAGGAGATTGTTCTTTATTTACTGCCACAAATGGAATTTCAAACAGGTTTAAATAATGTAACTGATCATACCCGTACATGTAGGTTTAGTTTTCACAAACTATAAATACTTATTAACTGACATAATTTTCTTTATGTTCATCATTTACTTTATTTTTAGGTTATGCACACGAAATAGTAGAACTATAAATACAATGTTCCTAGAAACCAGAGAGAATTCAAAGTACTGTATACCTAAAAAAATAATAATTAAAAAAATGTTTGTGAAACACTGATGCCCCCGTATGGCAACTTATGGCAAAGCTTAAAGTTTTACAAACGCAAGTCAAACTGCAAGGTCAAGGTCAAGAGATAAAAAAATGTTAGTATCCAAAGAATGGTCTTGTCTCAAGGAATATACCTGTGAAATATGAAATGACCAAGGTTAAAGTTTTTAGAAAAGTGGGTCAAACTCCAATTTCAAAAGGTAAAAAATATTACACCAAATGAAAGGCATTCTCACAAGGAATACACACGTGAAGTATGAAAGCCCTAGCACCAACTGTTCCAAAGTTATGGCAAAGGTTAAAGTTTGGTAAAGTTTTGCAAAAGTGGTCAAATCCCAAGATCAAGAGGTTAAATATGTAGGTACTCGAAGAAAGGTGTCACAAGGAATACACATGTGAAATATGAAAGCCATAGCTTCAAGCAATCAAAAGCTATGGGCAAGGTTAACATTTTTGCGGACAGCGGACAGGGCAAACCCTAAATGCCCCTGAATCTTCGATTACGGGGTATTAAAATAACATTAAATACTCGTAAAGTTCTTCAATTCTCAATTCTGACACAAGTCACTGTATCATGAAATGCAGTTTCCTCGTAGGTATTAAATCTGTCTTTATAAAGGTGTTATTTACGAACTCCGACTTTTGTATGGTATTTGTGTTTTAAGCAGAAATCCAAAAATAGAACAAATACCCAGAAATAAAACATAAGGCCTATACACTGTGGAATATCTACAGGTTAAAATATATACTTGTATCCTAGTTTGTCAATTTCTGCCATAATTACTATACATACGCTTTTGCTTGATTGTGCCATGGCGTTATCACCAGGATTACTATCACGGTAAATTTTTTTTTTTATCAATTGTGAAGTTATATACAAAGTATAATGTGTTCCTAATTTTTTTTATGTTTATTGCTCAAATAAATTATATAATTTAAAAGATTACATTCTCTCTCTCTCTCAAGACTCAGTTACAAAGATTTTTTTTCATAATATCAGCTTATCGAATAAGAAATCGGGATAAAACGGTTAAAATTCATTGTTAAATGGCTTGCCTTCTCTTCATTAAGAATAACACACATGACCTTCATAACCCACGTAAGCTACATTACTAGGAGAAAACATCACAAGACTTCTCGTATAGTGTACCTGTCAGGTATGTCGACTTCCGAATTCTTCACAATGCGTCCCATATACTTGCACACATTTCTTCTATTACATGAAGATAAGCATAATTCAATTACATGTATACCTATTTAGTTCATTTGAAAATATGTGCATAAAAAAGAGTAGCCACAATATAGTGTACGTAAAATTACAATATAGTGTATGTAAAATTCTCATAAAAATTAACGTATATATATATACATGTATATATATCTATATCTATATCTATATATATATATATGATCTCTATGATTTGTGATTCGATATGATTTTCATCGAATGAGTTGTGTGTTTTTTTTTTATTCCCGAGCCTTGGCGAAGGGATGTAAAAAAATAAAAAAAACACACACACAACGTGATTCTTTGTATATATGAATCCACATTAATTTACTTCATCAATTTCACGCAAAACCCATTGTGACGGACGTCACAGCAGGGTACAGCCCACTAATTGTTTTCCCATAGGCGGCAATGTTAACGTTTCTTCACATAGCAATGTCCCTAATTTTCGTTCAGCATTGAGTGACCCCTCAAATCAAAGCACATCAAGTTGTCTTTCCTTGGTTAAAATCTCGAGGTGGCATGTCAGATTCGTTTTCCGGCAAAATGCGTCTGTCTGCGTTAACCTCTGAAAATGAAAGTGAAAGTAGGGGATTTCAAGACTTCTCACTGGTGTTATAATACATAAAATAATTCTGCTGATCTTCTTGATAAATTACATCTGACAAGCTTTTTTGCAAGGGAACATACTCCTTATCAACAAGTATGAGGCTCAATTTAATACCTTATCACAGTTTTTTTTATTCAGGTCTACAAATTAAGGAACTTGTAATTTTTTCTGCACTACTTTCTTCTCCTACCGATTCTAAAAATAATTAGAGGTATGTACCCAGCAGTGGGATATGACAAAAATATCAATGAGTGATGTCCACCGGATAAAGGGGTAAACATATATATATATATATATATATATATATATATATATATATATATATATATATATATATATATATATATATATATATATATATATATATATGGAATTTCACACAGGTTTAATCGAATTGAGCATAACCGTACATGTGTACTCAAACGTTTGAATAATGTCTGATTGTGATGACCATGTACACCTGTCTTCAAGTAAATTAAACCTCTATTCAAATTACTGAAAGATTAAGTATCACTAAACTGTTAAACAGAGTTCAGGTAGAGCTATCATTCCTTCTTCAGAAAAAAAATTGTAAAAGTACTAAATTTTCGCATTGATTTAAAAGAATGAACCTCTTTAAAGAGGTTTAGCTTACGCAAAATATAAATATATATATTAAATGACATATTTTTTGTGTCGCTTGCAGAGAAGAGCGACACTTGGGGATCACTTTACCCGGCGTCTGTCTCTCTGTTCGTCTATCACACTCTATATCTTGAAAACTATTAAAAAAAGTATAGATTTGATATCTTGCACACATATTGCTTGGCAATTGGCTTTTGTAAAATACCACAGTTACCGACCTCGTGACCTTTGAACTTGACTTTTGACCTACTTTTCAAAATAGTTCATTGTGCCGATATAAAGCATATCTTTGACATTTAAGAGGTAAGTCTATATTATTAAGCATGTGTACTGTTTACCATAAAATACTATGAAAAAGTACCAGGTTACAGTCCATCTTGACCTTTGACCTACTTTGCAAATATACTCCGGATTATTGATTTAATTTGTTTTTTTTATTTTGAGAGGCAAGGTTTTGATAATTAGCATTTATATCACGTTTATGAGCTCATGACACTGTACTTGAAACTGTATGTTATATAGCTACCATATTATCTGAAAATTATAATACTATAAAAATGCATCGGGATCGGTATACCAAAAAGATCGTCGTAGACTCTCTTGTATCATCCAGACGTTTGCGTTTACCTCCACAAAGAGGTATAATATGTATGCTGTTTTGGATCTCGTAACCAGCCTCTATAACCAGGCAGAGCGCATGCGTGAAATAAATTTCCATCGAGATCGGAAAACAGCAGAGAGGAAATTCGGAATATATAATGGAAACTAGTAATGCGGAATGATACTATAGTCAGATGCAGAAATTTTTGCATAATTCGATCAACTTTTATTTAAAAAAGCAGAAGAATAAATGAATCAACTTTACAGTTAGTTTTTATTTAATTATTTATTTATTTATTTAATTTATTTATTTATCATTCTTATAATTAATTAACTAAGTAACTGATTAATTTATTAAAAAATATATATTTGTATTTTTTTTTAAATTCATTTATAACATTCTTTCCTTCATTTATTAATTATTCCATCCATTAATTAATTATCTATTAATTAATTCATTGATTTATTAATTTGTATGCATGTTTGTTTATTTATTTATTATTCTAATAATTAAGTAATTGATTAATTCATTAAGAAGTTCATTTATTTGTTTGTTTATCTATTTATTATATTCATTCCTTCATTTATTTCGTATTCTATTTATTTATTTATTTATTATTTATCTATTTATTTATGCATTCATTTATTCGTATTTTTATTTATTTCTTTATTTTTTATTTCTTTATTGATTGATTGATTTATTTTTGCATTTATTTATTGATTTATTTATGCATTTATCATATATTTCTTTTATAAATTAATTATTTTTACAGGGTTTGTATACTTATTACCAGGGTCTGTTTATGTATTGCCATAGTTTGTATACCATCACCAGGGTCTATATACCTATCACCAGGGTCTGTATACCTATCACCAGGGTCTGTATACTTATCACCAGGGTCTATGTACCTATCACCAGGGTCTATATACCCATCACCAGGGTCTGTATACCCATCACCAGGGTCTGTATACCCATCACCAGGGTCCGTTTTATCTATCACCAGGGTCTATATACCTATCACCAGGGTCTGTATACCCATCACCAGGGTCTGTATACTTATCACCAGGGTCTATGTACCTATCACCAGGGTCTATATACCCATCACCAGGGTCTGTATACCCATCACCAGGCTCTGTATACCCATCACCAGGGTCCGTTTTATCTATCACCAGGGTCTATATACCTATCACCAGGGTCTGTATACCCATCACATGGGTCTGTATACTTATCACCAGGGTCTATGTACCTATCACCAGGGTCTATATACCCATCACCAGGGTCTGTATACCCATCACCAGGGTCTGTATACTTATCACCAGGGTCTATGTACCTATCACCAGGGTCTGTATACCCATCACTAGGGTCTGTATACTTATCACCAGGGTCTATGTACCTATCACCAGGGTCTGTATACCCATCACCAGTGTCTGTATTATCTATCACCAGGGTCTTTATACCCATCACCAGGGTCTGTATACCCATCACCAGGGTCTGTATACCCATCACCAGGGTCTGTATACCTATCACCAGAGTCTATATACCCATCACCAGGGTCTGTATTATCTATCACCAAGGTCTGTATACCCATCACCAGGGTCTGTATACCTAGCACCAGGGTCTGTATTATCTATCACCAGGGTCTGTATACCCATCACCAGGGTCTGTATATCCATCACCAGGGACTGTATTATCTATCACCAGGAACTGTATAGCTATTACCAGGGTCTATATACCTATCACCAGGGTCTGTATACCTATCACCAGGGTGTGTATGCCCATCACCAGAGTCTATATACCCATCACCAGGGTCTGTATTATCTATCACCAAGGTCTGTATACCCATCACCAGGGTCTGTATACCTATCACCAGGGTCTGTATACCCATCACCAGGGTCTGTATACCCATCACCAGGGTCTGTATTATCTATCACCAGGGTCTGTATACCTATCACCAGGGTCTGTATACTTATCACCAGGGTCTATGTACCTATCACCAGGGTCTGTATACCCATCACCAGGGTCTGTATACCCATCACCAGGGTCTATAAACCTATCACCAGGGTCTATATACCCATCACCAGGGTTTGTATACCCATCACCAGGGTCTGTATACCTATCACCAGGGTCTGTATACCTATCACCCGGGTCTCTTTACTTATCACCAGGGTCTGTATACCTATTACCAGATTCTGTATACCTATCACCAGGGTCCGTTTTATCTATCACCAGGGTCTAAATACCTATCACCAGGGTCCTTATACCTATCACCAGGGTCTGTATACCCATCACCAGGGTCTGTATACCCACCACCAGAGTCTGTATTATCTATCACCAGGGCCTGTATACCCATCACCAGGGTCTGTATACCTATCACCAGGGTCTGTATTATCTATCACCAGGGTCTGTATACCTATCACCAGGGTCTGTATACTTATCACCAGGGTCTATGTACCTATCACCAGGGTCTGTATACCCATCACCAGTGTCTGTATTATCTATCACCAGGGTCTGTATACCCATCACCAGGATCTGTATACCTATCACCAGAGTCTATATACCCATCACCAGGGTCTGTATTATCTATCACCAGGGTCTGTATACCCATCACCAGGGTCTGTATACCTATCACCAGGGTCTGTATTATCTGTCACTAGGGTCTGTATACCTATCACCAGGGTCTGTATACCTATCACCAGGGTCTGTATTATCTGTCACTAGGGTCTGTATACCTATCACCAGGGTCTGTATACTTATCACCAGGGTCTATGTACCTATCACCAGGGTCTGTATACCCATCACCAGGGTCTGTATACCCATCACCAGGGTCTATAAACCCATCACCAGGGTCTATATACCCATCACCAGGGTTTGTATACCCATCACCAGGGTCTGTATACCTATCACCAGGGTCTGTATACCTATCACCCGGGTCTCTTTACTTATCACCAGGGTCTGTATACCTATTACCAGATTCTGTATACCTATCACCAGGGTCCGTTTTATCTATCACCAGGGTCTAAATACCTATCACCAGGGTCCTTATACCTATCACCAGGGTCTGTATACCCATCATCAGGGTCTGTATACCCACCACCAGAGTCTGTATTATCTATCACCAGGGCCTGTATACCCATCACCAGGGTCTGTATACCTATCACCAGGGTCTGTATTATCTATCACCAGGGTCTGTATACCTATCACCAGGGTCTGTATACTTATCACCAGGGTCTATGTACCTATCACCAGGGTCTGTATACCCATCACCAGTGTCTGTATTATCTATCACCAGGGTCTGTATACCCATCACCAGGATCTGTATACCTATCACCAGAGTCTATATACCCATCACCAGGGTCTGTATTATCTATCACCAGGGTCTGTATACCCATCACCAGGGTCTGTATACCTATCACCAGGGTGTGTATTATCTGTCACTAGGGTCTGTATACCTATCACCAGGGTCTGTATACCTATCACCAGGGTCTGTATTATCTGTCACTAGGGTCTGTATACCTATCACCAGGGTCTGTATACTTATCACCAGGGTCTATGTACCTATCACCAGGGTCTGTATACCCATCACCAGGGTCTGTATACCCATCACCAGGGTCTGTATACCCACCACCAGGGTCTGTATTATCTATCACCAGGGCCTGAGTACCCATCACCAGGGTCTATACCCATCACCAGGTACTGTATTATCTATCACCAGGAACTGTATACCTATCAACAGAGTCTGTATACCCATCACCAGGGTCTGTATACCCATCACCAGGCTCTGTATACCTATCACCAGGGTCTCTATACTTATCACCAGGGTCTGTATATACCCACCACCATCTATAACTATCATCAGGGTCTATATACCTATCACCAGGTTCTGTATACCAATCACCAGGTCTCTTGACCCATTACCAGGGTCAGTTTATCTATCACCAGGTACTGTATACCAATCACCAGGGTCTCTTGACCCATCACTCGGGTCAGTTTATCTATCACCAGGTTCTGTATACCAATCAACAGGGTCTCTTGACCCATTACCAGGGCCAGTTTATCTATCACCAGGTACTGTATACCAATCACCAGGGTCTCTTGACCCATCACTCGGGTCAGTTTATCTATCACCAGGTTCTGTATACCAATCACCAGGTCTCTTGACCCATTACCAGGGTCAGTTTATCTATCACCAGGTACTGTATACCAATCACCAGGGTCTCTTTACCCATCACTCGGGTCAGTTTATCTATCACCAGGTTCTGTATACCAATCAACAGGGTCTCTTGACCCATTACCAGGGTCAGTTTATCTATCATCAGGTACTGTATACCAATCACCAGGGTCTCTTGACCCATCACTCGGGTCAGTTTATCTACCACCAGGTTCTGTATACCAATCACCAGGGTCTATATACCCTTCATCACGGTTTTTTCTTCTCTCGTGCAGGGTCTAGTTCCCATCTTTTTAGTAGGGTGACCTTCAACATAGTTTGCATTATGAAAATGAATCCAATTACTTTTTAGGGTGTCTTCATAAACGTAACATCTTGTGGAGAACGTATGAGTTGTTTAATGAACTATAATGATTTTATTGTGATTAAGATGCATTGACTCTAATGTTATATTGATCTTTTTTACTTTTTATTTTGTAGTGTAAGCCTGTCAAGGAGGAAGCAAAGGATATAGAAACTTATAACAATGGACAAAGATTTATAATTGTGTGGAACTATCTTTACATTGTAAATGCCAATGTATCCTGATTCCTCTATTGCATAAATCGAGAGAAATCTAAAAATTCCATTATGTTGTTTACTTGTTCCAGAGAAAATGTGAAGATATACATATCTACATAATTAATCAATAAAGTGTGAAATTTTAAAAATTATCATAAAAGAAGAGCAACCAACACAAAGTTCAAATTTCTTCTATGTTCATGACAGTAGAACAGTAGGATAATAGTGCCAAAATTTGTGTTCTACAAACCCTAGCTGTCATGTTGTCAAGAAGGAGACCCAGTGTATTTTCACTGCATGGAAATGATATGGAATGTCTTTAATCGTTTTTTGTTGTTTTTTTTTCTTTTTGGTTGGGATGCAATCGTCTATGGCATATTGTGACTGTCGTGGCGGCTCATCATATTTAAAATTATTATATATTTTTAAAGTGGGATGTTCTGTTTAAAAGCTTAGGACCAAGGATCGAGTTATGATTTGAAAGTCGATCAAACTTCAATGTCAAGTTTATGAGGTTAAAAATCAAAGTATATTTGGAAGGTCTTGTTACAGCTATGTTCATGTACAAGAAAATATTAAAGTCCTGTCTCATCAGGTACAAAGCTTTGGCCAGGATTAAAAGTTTTGTAAAAAGAAAGTCAAATGCCAAGGTCAAAGATATTAGGCTATATACATTCCAGTGACTTGTTATAGTTTTGTCACGGGTATTGCACAGGTCAGTTATGAAAACATATATCTCATTCCATACTAAGCTTAGGTCAGGGTTATTTTTTTTTTATAAGTATATCAAATTTCACTGACAAGGTCATAAGATAAAAAAATAAATTCAGAAAGATTTTGTAATTCGTAATTCATATGTGGAATATGAGAGTCCGATCTTCTCAAAATTATTATATATTTTCTATTAGATGAATATTTCTTGAAATTGATAAACTAAACAAAAAATTATGACCAATGTTCAAATTTTTGTGATGAACAAACACATCGACTGTCCCGGCGTATTTGCTATAGCAATGGAGAATAATTGAATAAAATTCCATGAAAGATAAATTGATAATTATGATAAAACGTTTTATTTGAAGTAGTGATATGTATATCTTTCCAAATTAATTTTATTAGCAATACATATATTCAAAGAGTAAGGCGTAGATAGTGTATTAACCCCCCCCCCCTCTCCATTTATTTTTGTAAACTTTAAAATATCATGCTGGCAATTTTTTTATGCTTGCTAAAATAAAAACTGTTATATGAATAATTTACGGTCTAAAATTATTTCATATAAACACACTGCCCACACGTTAGGTGCCTGCAAACATCTATGTGCAACAGAGGCAATTGATGTTACTTTTTTGTATATATGAGGTAAAAAGGTTTTTTTTTTGTTATAAATACCTCCTGCATTTACAAGTGAGGTTTGAAATATTAAAATTTTATTTTAAGAAAATGCTCCGAATATTCGACTATCGTTCGAATAATGTTATCGAATAGTCGACTAAGGAAAATAAATATTTTGACATTCCTAAAAATACACAGTAACAAGATTTCGAATATGAACTTTTGGCATAATTAAATATGAATCACAGGGATTTTTTAAATATAATTATGAAGTATACACAATTTCAAAAATAAATCACAAGATAATCGAATATGAATTACAAAATTGAGTGTGTTTGTTTCTTATCTGACTATATCTTTGCGATTTCAAATAATTCTCCCATGTATCGTACATTTTTGGGCAATTTCATGATTTTAATCATGTGCAGGCAAACACAATCTGTGATTAATGTGTTAATTGTTGATTCTACTTGTTTTATAAACAAAATATTTCATAGAATTTTCCTACTAGATGTACAATTTGCAACCAGTTTAAGTGTTCTCAATTCTTTAATTTATTGGATAAGATAAATTAATCGAACGCTTTATTCGCATTTTTATGCCCCCGTATCGAAGATTCGGGGGTATGTAGTTTTGCCCTGTCCGTCCGTCTGTCTGTTTGTCCGAAAAAACTTTAACCTTGCCCATAACTTTTGATTGGTTGGAGCTATGACTTTCATATTTTACATGTGTATTCCTTGTGACAAGACCTTTCTCTGGGTACCACCATATTTGACCTTGACCTTGGAGTTTGACCCAGTTTTGCAAAATTTTATCAAACTTTAACCTTGGTCATAACTTTTGAAAGGTCGGTGCTTTGGCTTTCATATTTCACAGGTGTATTTCTTGGAAGAAGGCCTTTCCTTGGGCACCATTAATTTTGACCATTTGACCTTGACCTTGATTTTTGACATACTTTTGAAAAAAAAAATAACCTTATCCATATCTATTCAATCGTTGCTACCGGGGTTTTCATATTTCACAGGTTTATTCCTCGGGACAAGACCTTACTTTGGGTACCAACATATTTGATTTGCGTTTGAGAAAGTTTAACCTTTGCTATAAGTTGCCATACGGGGGCATCAGTGTTTCACAAACACATCTTGTTTTCCGTAACGGTGATTTTTGTACATCAGTATTGGGGGAATTCAAATTTATACTTTAACATAAACTCAGTAGGAAGGAAAATATTTATACAACAAATCAAATAATTTGCAATTATAAAATGTTAACTTGTTTTATAAAAGATAAAAAATTGTAATAACAAATTGTTAATCTGAAATTATAATTTGATGAATTGTAAATACAAATGAAATAAATAAAATCTGTAGTGTTTAGGTGCCTTGAAAATCTATAGTGAGGTCGTTATTATTGGTCGACCTTTCCCTACACCTTGATCTACATGTTTAGGCCTTGAAATAAATTCCAAGCAACACATTCCAGACAATTATTTAGCCATCCTTCTTTATTTATCATGATAGTTAGACTGACAACACTTTGTTATAAATAGTGACTTTAACCCACTTCCCCCAATAAAAATTCATGTAATCGATAGGTTATACCTCCTTAAATTTAAATTGAAATTTAAACTTAAATTTTCAGTGCAGGCGTTCATTAAAAAATATTTTTACAAAGTCGCAAAGTCCAAATGTAGACTTCAAAGCTAAGTATGCATGAAAGTTTGATATGTTTGATGTCAAAGAACATACCGTATTAATTTCTCGAACGGTCTATAACATGGTCATTTCAGGCCAAAAATAAATAAACAAATTAGTGAACAAATAAACGTACAAATAAACCTCACTTTACAGCAAAGGACTTTCTCTTCTTTAGTGAACAAAATTATCTAAAATCTATAATGGTTATTATCGAATATTTCAATTTAATTTTGTTTGGTATTTCAAATTAAAACAAAATGTGTTTGTGAAACACTGATGTCCCTGTATGGCAGCTTTTGACAATGGTTAAAGTTTCTCAAATGCAACTCAAACTCAAATATTAAGGACATACGCAACGTACCTTACCTACTGATATTTTTTAAAGATATTCTTAATTTAAGATTATATAGTGCCATCAGATGTTCGTAGACAAAAAATCAGCATGCATTACCAGGGGTTTTGAAAAGATATCAATTAATGAAAATTCTTGTATAATTCAAAGAAAAATATACAAAAATTATTAAACATATATTCTAGATGTTTTGTTTATCCAAATTTGTTTTAGAAGAAGTGTACAACAGCATATATAGACATTAAAATGTAGCACACAGTTCTTTTAAGTATTTGAAATCCTCAACTCCAGGGAAAAAGACAATAAAGTTCAAACTACGTTGCGTATGTCCTTAATAGCTGAAAAATGTTGTTACCCAAAGAAAGGACTCTCAGTGAATATAACTGAGAAATAAGAAATTCCAGGCACTAACCATTCAAAAGGTTTAGCTCAGAATAAAGTTTTTTAAATGTGGGTCAAACTGCAAGGTCAAGGTCAAAGGGTCAAATTAAAGGTACCCAGGGTAAGGCTTTGTCATAAGATATACACATGTAAAACATTAAAGAATTAGCACCAACTGTTCAAAATATATGGCCAAGATTAAAGTTTTTCAAAAGTATGTCTTATTCCAAGATAAAGGTCAAAATTTCAAATATGTCGGAACCCAAAGAAAGGATTTGTCACAAGGAATACACATGTGGAAAATAATAGCCCTGATACTAATTTCTCAAGGTTAAAATTTTTAAAAGTTGGTAAAACTCAAAGGTCAAGATCAATTTTTTTAATATCCGTTCAAAGGTCTTGCTACTATGAATACACATACTAGTATAAAGTATGAAAGCCCTTGCACCAACTGTTGAAAAGTTATAGCCAAGGTTAAAGTTTGGTAAATTCTTGAAAAAGTGGGAAAAACTCAAAGATCAAGGTCAAAAAAGTCAAATATGTTAGAACCCAAAACAAGGCCTTATCACAAGGAATGCACATGTGAAATATGAAAGCCATAGGTCCAACCAATCAAAAGTAATGGGCACGTTTTTGCGGACAGACAAACAGGTGATGGGTATACAGACCCTGGTGATAGATGTACAGCTCTAGTGATAGATAATATAGACCCTGGTGATAAGTATACAGACCCTTTTAATAGATAATACCGACCTTGGTTATAGAAATACAGACGCTGGTAATAGATATACGGACCCTGGTAATAGGTCCACAGTCTCTGGTGATAGGTATACACACCCTGGTGATGGGTACATACAGACCCTAATGACAGATAATACACACCCTTGACATAGATTTACAGATTAAGACCCTGTTCATAGATACCCAAACCCTGGTGATGGGCATACAGACCCTGGTGATGGGTATACAGACACTGGTGATAGATAATACAGACCCTGGTGATAGTTATACAGACCCTGGTGATAAGTATACAGACCCTGGTGATGGGTATACAGACCTTGGTGATAGATAATACAGACCCTGGTGATGGGTATATAGACTCTGTTGATGGGTATACAGACCTTGGTGATAGATAACACAGACACTGGTGATGGGTATACAGACCCTGGTGATAGGTATACAGAATCTGGTGATGGGTATACAGACCCTGGTGATAAGTAAAGAGACCCGGGTGATAGGTATACAGACCCTGGTGATGGGTATACAAACCCTGGTGATGGGTATACAGACCCTGGTGATGGGTATACAGACCCTGGTGATGGGTATACAGACCTTGGTGATAGATAATACAGACCCTGATGATGGGTATATAGACTCTGGTGATGGGCATACACACCCTGGTGATAGGTATACAGACCCTGGTGATAGGTATATAGACCCTGGTGATAGCTATACAGTTCCTGGTGATAGATAATACAGTCCCTGGTGATGGATATACAGACCCTGGTGATGGGTATACAGACCCTGGTGATAGATAATACAGACCCTGGTGCTAGGT